GGAGGTTATCCTCTTGTCCTATAATAAATAAAGGTTTAAAATACACTATCCTAATACCGAACTGCTTACCTTCTGCTGTGGATACTTAATTATACTCCACATCCACCTCATGTATATTCCAGTAGCAGAATCCCTGTACCAGGTGACCTTGTTACTATGCTATGTGGTTACAAAGAAGGCCATAGCATTGTAACAACAGATATAGTATTACTTTATATAATTTGAATTAGAATTTCTAGTTAAAAAGATATTTAAAAGTAATTATATAGTTAAAAAAAAATATACATTAAAATAAAGCTTTATAGTAGAAATATACAAATACTATATTTGTTATATAATTTTTTATATACTTTATACAGATTATAATAATATTTTTTCTTTTTTTTTACTTTTTGATAAAAATAATTTACTTTGTTAGTTTCAAGGCTTTCTTTTTATTTTTATTTTTTTATATTTTTTTTGCTTTTTTTATTTTTATTTTTTACATTTCTTTAGATATTATTTTTTTTTAGTTTTGTGTTTTAAATACAAATCTATTTTTTTTTACTTTTAAAGAAAAAAAGATTGAAGAGATTAGTTCTTTAATAAGCTGACAAAGTTTTCTAACTTTTTATAAGCTGGTATAGCAGGTTGTAGCTAGATATATTTATTGCAGTCAGATAATAGTAGACTTGCAATTGAAGAGTTAATTATATATAAAACAAATATTAAATATATTAACTTAGTAATATAGTATTAATAAAATTATCAAAGAATAAAAAAATATATTTAATTAAAAAATTATTTTTTTATTTAGCTACTTTCTTTATATATTTGTTTGTTTTGATTTATGTTTTTTTTTTACTTTAATATTAATTAACTAATGTTTGTGATAAGGCCTAATTTACTTTTTTGATAAGCTAACTGCTGTTTTTTAGTTTTGAATATTTTAATAGCTACTTGTTTATATTGTAATATAGTAGACTTTGGTGGCAGTAAACTATATTACTTGACTTAGTGTCAAGAGAATAAGAAATGTGAATAATATGAAATAAATACTAAAGAAACTAAAGATAAAACTAAAAAAGGTAAAATGAAAAATATATCAAGTGTGTATATATAAACTAATAGAAATAACTAAAGAAAATATAAAGAAACTAAAAACAAAAGGACAATAAAAAAACAATAATTCCACTATAAGTAAGTATTTCACAAGATAATATCAGTTTATTAAATAAAAAGAAGGAAATACAGGAGACCAAGTCTAAGTCTACTTCTAAGCCTTAGGTCAAAAAACTAGGTTTATATATTTTTTACAATCTTAAATAATTATAGTTTGTATTATTGTACTATTGTGTCAAAGAAACTTGTCAAAGAGATTTGTCAAAGATACTAGCTAATAAGACTAATCAAAGAGACTAACCAACGAGACTAGCCAAAGAGACTAGCCAAAGGAACTAGCCAACAAGACTTAATTACTTGTTAACTATTGATTTAAATAAAAAACTATAAAAACTATACTAATAAAACTAATACTAAGGATTCTATTGATTAAATAATATTTGTACTACACTTAATAGTTATACATAAATAAGTAATAGAAAATTTAAAGTACTAATATAATACTAATATAACAATGTATATAAGTTCTTTTTGTTTTTGCATTTTGACTAAATTAAAGAAAACATGATTACTTATCAAATATGCTTACTTATGATTCGATGACAATATAAATTCTTATTTTCATTGATAAACTTAAGCATGTTTGCTTTGATGTATTTATATTTTCTTATATTTTTTTTATAAATGACAAATTTTATTTTTTATTTTTAAATATGTTTGTTTACAATACAATGACATATTATAATACAAAGCAATTATTTGTTAACCGATAATTTATTCTTTTTAATAAAAAATCATTAAATATATTCTATTAAAAGTCAGGTACTATGTTTTAAACTAAAGATTTCAGTATCCAAGCATTGAACCTAAATTAGGTTCAATTCTGGTTATTTTGAATCCAAAATTTGGGTCAAATAAAGCGGGAGTCGGGCATTTTCTAAATTCAGTAGAGTAAGACTTACGATACGATGACATATTTATTATGATATTTAATATAGTTATTTTCCAACTGACAAACTATTCTTTCTTATAAAAGTCAGTTAATATATTATATTAAAAGTCAACTATTACATTTTAAACCAATATTTTGTATCCAAACGTTGAATATAATTCTGATTATTTTGAACTTAAAATTTGGGTCAAGTGAAGCGAGAGCCTAAAATTCAATAGAGTAGGGCTTGAAAGGCTTTCGCCTCGCTCCCCTCAGCTCCAGCCAATTAACAAGAGTCAACTATATGTATATATATAACTTTTTAAGGCCGAATTTGGATACAAACTAAGGGATAATATTAAATATTATTATAGTGTAATTTAACAAAACCATTCTACTAACTTAACCCAAATAGCTTTGCTATAATAAAAAATACATTAATAAAAAAAAAAAATCTAATAATTATATATATATATATATATATATAGTATATATATATGGGGTCTTTGCCTTGAAAATGACCTTACGGTATCATGTACCGTAAGGTCATTTTCAAGGCAAAGACCCCATATACTTATTGGTTTTAAAAAAATTGTACGTAGCTTGAATTTTTTATATATTATAAAACGCACCTATGGTGGTTTTTACGTCTATTATACGTTCGTTTTATATATCTTTCTAAGCTTTTATATAAAATTTTAGCATAAATTTTTCATGTTGGGGGTTAGTATTTAGTGCTACGTAGAATTAAGGTTTTGGGGGACGTAGAGCATTTGTATCGCATATTAATTAGCCAGTTTTTAAAGATAATGCAACATAGCGATAGGTGCATAGTAACGGTAAGTGATTATAAAAAATCTCTTATTCATAATCATCACTATCGCTATGTCAATTGCAATTGACACCTATCACATTTTATATATATAAATAAATACCGAACATCATCCCGGATTCCTAGAACAGTTTGTTCGGTCTAGAGAGTTGAGTACATTAAAACCGATCAAACCTGTTTAATATAAAAAATAAATTCGGATTCAAACTCTATCGCTATGCTATGCAAATCTAATGTGTTAGCATTCATTAATCACGAGAAAGTTATCCAACAAAGTACTTGAAATATTGATATAGCAACAATGGTACACAATTGGTGTGATTTAGTAAACTCATTTTATCACTCATTTGGTTATCTTTCCGAAGCATCTAAAAATTCTCATGCACAAGTCAGGTGACATCAATCAATCACCAATTTCATTAGAAGGAAAAAAGTGCGGGAATCCAATTGAATTTGTTCCTTAACCATCCATCCATTCACTTTCTGCACAATGACGAGTGTTGCGAGTCGAAATTTGTTCGACTTACTTGTCGATAATGAGGATGTTGACCCAATTGTACAAGAAAAAGAATCCTCAAAAAAGGAGTCTACAACAACGGTAGTTGTTCAGAAAAAAGTTGATAGGTCTCGAGCGACTCCGAAGGAGGCCAGAATTAGGCATGAATATCCTCAACGTGGAGGTTTTAAAGCTGCTCCTACCAACAATAGAAACGAGGACACGAGATCAGGTGGTATGTATCTAAAACTTAATTTTAAAGCAGAAATAATCTTCAACTTAACTGACTGTACAATAACCTAAGAAGGTGCGTTAAAAATAGATAATGTTTTATAAACTTCTATCTATTAAGCCTTTAAGGATATGTTCCAGTATCAGTCAGAACAATTAAAAATAAAAAATTATTTAGCATGGTTTACGCATGCATTGAGGATCTAGAAACATTTTGATTAATCCAAAGTAATGAATTTGCTTTAAATATATCTAATTGCTTGACTGAAGCGGCACCTCGTGATCGTAATGTTGGTCCTCGTCTTTCTGGTCGTCGTGGCGAAGAAGGTGATTACCCTAATAGAACAGGACGTGGTGCCCGAAGTAGCGAAAGAGGTCGTGGAGGTGGTCGCGGAGGAGGAAACCGTCGAGGACGCGAATTCGACCGTCATAGTGGTACAGGAAAATAGTAAGTAATTTCGATTTAAATTACAATTTACAAGTGTAAAACCAAATAAATTAATTATTATTTTCGGTTATATAGTGACAGTGAGAAAAAAGAAAATCAGGCTTGGGGCAACCCTGCCGTTTGGGATAATAATGAACCAACTTGGAGTGGAGAAACAAAGGAAAACGATGCTCCAGCTACTTCCAGTTGGAATGAGGACGAAAAGCAAAATGACAACTGGGGCGGTGCTAACGGTCATGAATCCAATGCAAATGCTAAAGGGGAAACTCCTGTAGGGGAATCAGGTGCAAATGAGAATGAAAACCCCACAACCGGTTGGGATGATAATAAAGCCGAATCCAAGGAGTGGGAAATGCTTAAAGAAGAAACTACTACTGCTGGAGGTGAAACAACCGCACCTGTTGCTGAACAAGAAGTCGTAAAGACTTATGATGAATTTCTTGCGGAAAAAGCTCAAAAAGCACTTGACCTCTCTCTCCCCGAAGCTAGAAAACCCAATGAAGGGGTAGATGATTCTCAATGGAAGGATGCCGTTCCTTTGGAAAAAGACGACGAAGATGTCCTTTTTGCCGGCAAGGTGAGATTGATTATTAAAATAATTTACAAATTTTAACAGATTTAAAAAATTATAATACAAAATTTATTTCTGCTTATTTTTAGGAGCAAGCATATAGACTCAAATCTAAGAAATCAAAAGCAAAAAATTATCTTGAAATTGAAACAACTTTTGATAGACCAGGAGCTAACTTTCCACGCGGACGTGGTCGAGGACGCGGTGGTGGATCCCGTGGAGGAAGAGGCGAAAGACGTGACAACCGTGATGGGCGTGAACGAGATAGGCGTGATAATTATCGTGAGCGTGAGAACTACGACAATGAGAATCGTGATAACCGTCGTCGTGGAGGTCGTGGTGGTAATTTCGTCAACCTCGACGACCAAAGCGCTTTTCCGAGTCTTGGTGCTGCATAGTTTTTTTTATTATACAGCCCAAGCGGGAAATTTTTAAATGAACAATATTCAAGATTCCCCAAATCTATTATGGGACAATATATTTCTTTTTTATTTTTCATTCTGTTGTTTTATGTAGGGTTAAGGTTATATATTTACACATGTGTCTTTATTCAATTAGCAAAAAGGAAAAAAAGTAATGTTGCATTGAATATAGTATATCATGAAAAAAAAAAAAAAAACATCTTGTATATTTTTATCAGATCATAATTGGGGCTGTTCAAATTTGCTTATTTATGTGATCATTTAAACACCGATTTTTTCGGCGGGTAATGAAGTTTTTTGGTCATTATAATCTTTTAGAATGTCTCCAATAATTCGAGTTGTTTTTTCATTTAAAAGTTAAATATTTATATAATCACGCTTTATCGTTATGAAGTTTCAAAGTGTGTGGCACAGTCATCATCCTATTTTGGATTAGCTAATCGTAATCTTATTGTGTGTTATCTCATTAATTATCTTTAAAATTTCGAAACGTCTTTGCATTTTCAACTGCCAATATAAAAAATTGAAAGACTGGATTAAAGCTATTCGAACCTGTTTTGCCATGTCAGAGGTTATTCTAGTTCAGTATCATGTTGTAAGCAAGCATTGGAACAGAGCGGCAAGGACTGACGAAATAGCAAAAAAGATAGAAGAGTTTTTTGCACCTAAAAACTTCTTCAATAAATTTACAACGCTTGATTTTTTTCTTGGTAAGTTGCAAACGCGTTCGACACGTCAAAAAAGCATTATAATAAATCTATCACTTTATAAATTTTGTTGCTTCAAATCTGTGTATGTTGTATTATTGATTTGAATGATGCTGCACCGCATGTGCCTTGTTGTAATAATTGCTTTAAATGACACTACTTTATTCGTCTACAAATTAGGTACTAGCAATGAAGACGAACGTCGTTACTTATTGCTCTCTGAAGATTCTGTGAAAACTATTCGTTTAGGGTTGGAGACATTTACGTCCGCTTCATTTTCGTCTATGCCCTCTTCACATTATACATATTCAGATGTTGTACGTGTCTCCGTTAATGCACCGTCAATGTTCAATAAAGTTACCAAAGATATACAAAAATATAATAAAGGAGTTCGCACAGCTTTAAAACTTCGTGGAATGAAAAATATGTGGGAGAAAGCACGAAATATGATTCAAGAAAAAAAAAATTTATTTATGGCAGTTGATGTTGAAAGTTATGAACGAGATCATTCTTGTATCTTGGAGGTTGGGTGGAGTATGTACGATTCTAAGAACGACTTAATTATGGATCGGCATTTCTGCGTGACTGATTATAGACATCTGAGAAACGGACAGTTTGTTCCAGATATGAAGGATCGATTCACCTTTGGAACTTCAGTATGGGCAAATCAGAAAACGATCAAAGATGAATTCACTAAAGATTTGGAATCACAGCTGGGAAGTGTAGTACTTGTAGGACATGATATTAAAACGGATGTGAAATATCTAGAAAGCATGGGAATAGATGTTTCTAGTGTGATAGAAAGGTTCGATACTGCTGACATGAACGCTGCAAGAGTTGGAAAACCGAATGAACGAATTAATCTTGGAAGATTGCTAGATGAACTGGACATTGAAAATTACAGTTTACACAACGCTGGTAGGAAGCTAACGAATAATCTTTTTAGATATTACATCCCTAATCTAATTTCTCATTTATTTTTTTATTAAGGAAATGATGCACATTACACATTACGTCTATTCCTTGAACTTTGCAAGCTCCCACTTGCTCCGCCAGAAGAGCCCAATGCCTCTCAACCTATTAGTGATGATGATTGGATTTAATAATATATATATCAATTACTATTCTTTAGAATGCTGATGTATAGATTTTAATAGTAATATTCAAATTAAGTGAATATGATTTCAATTTAATTGGATTTATTTTATCCAAATGAAATGTTTATTAACAAACGAAGCTATTAGGTTTGATAAAATAAAGGTAGAGAATGCTAAAATCCTAAGCTTTGTAAAAATGCTTCAGAACACCTAGTAACTTGCTCGAAGACTTCCTTATAAGCTTCGTTTCCACTGTGGTAAGGATCTGAAAGTAAGCATAATCTATTAATATCTATTAATATAAAATCATAAGTAAAATTCTCAAATAAAAGATAGATTCACCTTCTATAGTAGTTTTTCCTTGGGGATCATATTCACCAAATAATTTAACTATAATAATTTAATAGAAATACGTGTTGTTATAAAATTGATTATGGTACACAATTACACAAAGGAAATAATAAAATACCAGTTGCTTTTGGATTTTTAGCCGACTTCATCAATTTTTTAGACTCTCTTAAATTCATGTCATCCATGCAAAAAATATAATCGAATTCATCAAAATCATTTATTTCCAACTTTGAAAAGAATAGAATAAGTTTCTATTCACGGTTAAAATATATCAAAAACGCAGAATTGATGGATAAATTACGAACCATTCTTGCACTATGATCTATACGTATACCACTATCAGTGCATAACTTAATCGTTCGAGGATGAGGTGGTTCTCCTAAACACCAATATATTAATCATTCATAATTCTAACGTAATTATAAAGAAATAAATATAAATTTATTTACCAATATGATATGAAGATGTCCCCGCGCTATCAGCGATAAAACGTGATTGTAGACCTTTTTGCTGTATTCGCTTATTACGTTAATTAACGTCTTAGATGAATAAATTTAATGCAATTGAAAATTACCAGTGCAGTATGAGCAAACACTGCTTCAGCCATCGGACTTTATATGTAAAATCGGCATAAAAAATTATATATTAATTCTAAGCATACGAAGAAAAATAGCATATAAACGAAAAAAAAAATTACCTTCGACAAATATTGCCTAAAGATTTAAAAAAGAATGCCAGTTAAAATGCCATATTTGCGTAGCAACTCCTTTTCTAATCAATTACCTAAACACACAAAAAGAACTTTTATCTTTTGATCAGACATATTTGGTACGTATCGAGAAGTAATTCACAAAGCATAAATGCAATTTAAAAGATAGACAATATCATGTGTTTAGTTGGTCTGTTTATTATTGGCTGGTTTAAATAAGGTTTTTTTTAAACTATTAGGGAATGTGTCCCAATGACACTACCAGTGCAAAAAATACCTCCATTATTGAATTTATTACAAGAATTTTATTAAGTAAATCGTACTTTCACTAAGTAAAATTGTTCAAATTACTATCCTTTGCCTATCCTTAAAATTTTGTTAAATATCAATAACTTTTTCATTAAGCTTTTTCTTTATAACTTTTGACGAAAAAACATTAATTTCTGCGTCAAAGCTTATAATGAAAGACTTACTAGTGAGTACTAGTGAATACCTAACAAAATTTCAATGATATTTCGGACAACTACAGATAAAATAAAGTACTAGATTTATGTCTTCGATTCGGACAGGCGTGTAACCCTGTCTTTTCCGATCAGAAATAATTACGATTATATCTTTTTATTTATCTCTGCGAATATGCTTTCAAATATTATATCGACTAGCATATAACCCGTCGCTCCGGAATTAAAAAATAAATATAGAATTAATATATACTTGCTATAGTGGTTGTAGTAAGTAATTCAAGGCACGGAATTTAAACATGAAACCCGTGGATGCCCCAAATTTGGAAATCAGGTTTTATACATAAAAATGATCTGCAGCTAGTATTCCTATGAACCTGCAGTTCAAAGTTCATGAATATGTTCAAAGATTCAAATAAAGAAAAAAATAAATAATCGCAAAGATAAAAATACTTATATCTCACAATCTACTGAGTCAATTTTAATGTTTTAACCACCATTCTGTTCCCAAGACACTTTTCTACAACTTTACTTAGATGTTGAAAAGAGGTTTAGTTAGTAAAGAAAAAAATTTTTTCTTTGAGAAACTTCAAAGTTAAAAAGTTTCTTTCATAATAAAATTTTTGAATTTTAACTAAACATTTTTCTTTACTAAGTAAACCTATTTTCAACTTCTAACAAAAGTTGTAGAGGAGTATCTTGTGATCAAAATGATGGTTAAAACGTTAAAATCGCCCAGTAGATCGCGAGATATAAGTATTTTTATCTTCGCGATTATATGCTTTCTTCTTTATTTTTAAAGAAAAAAAT